CATCATTAGATTTCTTATATCCTAACGATTGCATACATATAAAAATTTCTCAAATCCGACCCCAAATGGTCCTTGAAATCCCAAATCAAAAGTCCAATTTCTCAAGCCCTAGTTCTTCAATTCTAGGCTTAGTTTTCCATGAATTTCTAGGTGGATTTCACAATATAATCGAGTTTTAAGATCAAGATTCTTACCTCAAGTCGATTCCTCTTGAATCCCTCTTTAATTTCCTTCAAAAATCTCCAAAAACGAGCAACCATGGGTGAAAATAGACCCAAAATTGCGGACAAGGCGACTTAAAAACATTCTGCTCAGGCCTGACTTACCTTCTTCGCGGACACGGTCAACCACCCGCGAACGTGTAGCACAAAATTTTTTTATTTGACCAACTTTACCCTACGCGAACGCGACATGCCAGTCGCGAACGCAGTTCTTCCATAGCCTTGACCTTCGCGAACGCGTTTGCTCTATCGCGAACGCGATGATTAACTGACTATTAGACCCAATTCCTCCTCCGTGATCGAGTATACACCCTCGCGAATGCGATATAGTCCTCTCACAAACCTTCGCGAATGCGGCATGGACCCTCGCGAATGCGATGCTTACGAACCCCGGCCCTTCGCGAATGCGAGATCCCCTTTCGAACGCGAAGGCCAAAATGCCTGCAACTGAAACCTGCAATTTTTGAAGTTCTCAAAACATGAAATTGATCCGTTTAAAAACATAACCGAGTCCCTCGGTACCTCAATCAAAAAATATCCAAAATCCTGAAATTTGCAAAACCCGAGCCCCGGGCCCACTTATCCAAACTCAGAAATTTTCACATTAGATTCCTTATCTCCTCACGAGTGCATACATATCAAAAGTTCTCAAATCCGACCCCAAATGGTCCTTCAAATCCCAAATCAATAGTCCAATTTCTCAAGCCCTATTTCTTCAATTCTAGGCTTAGTTTTCCATGAATTTCTAGGTGGATTTCACAATATAATCGAGTTTTAAGATCAAGATTCTTACCTCAAGTCGATTCCTCTTGAATCCCTCTTTAATTTCCTTCAAAAATCTCAAAAAACGAGCAACCATGGGTGAAACTAGACCCAAAATCGCAGACAAGACGACTTAAAAACATTCTGCCCAGGCCTAACTTACCTTCCTCACGGACGCGGTCAACCACCCACGAACGCGTAGCACAAAAATTGCGTTGACCAACTTTACCCTACGCGAACGCGACATGCCAGTCGCAAACACAGTGCTTCCATAGCCTTGACCTTCGCGAACGCGTTTGCTCTATCGCGAACGCGATGACTAACTGACCATCAGACCCAATTCCTCCTACGTGATCGCGTATATACCCTCGCGAACGTGATGCGGTCCTCTCACAAACCTTCGCGAACGCAGCATGGACCCTCGTGAACGCGATGCTTACGAACCTCGGCCCTTCGGGAACGCGAGATCCCCTACCGAACGCAAAGGCCAAAATGCCTGCAACTGAAACCTACAATTTCTGAAGTTCTCAAAACATGAAATTGATCCGTTTAACCTCCCGAAACACACCCGAGGCCCTCGGAACCTCAACCAAACCTACCAACATAACCCATAACATCATTCAAACTTGTTCCAGTCATCAAAACACCTCAAACTACATCAAATTTCCCGAAACTCATCGAATTCAATCCTAAGTTTTCTAAAAACTTCTGAAATACGTTTTCGATCAAAAACCCAACCAAACCACGTCTGAATGACCTGAAATTTTGCACACACAGCCCAAATGACATAACGAAGCTACTACAACTCTCAGAATTCCATTCCAACTCCCGGATCATAATCTTACCTACCAATCGGAAAACGCCAAAATCTCAACTTCGCCAATTCAAGCCTAGTTCTATTCCGGACCTCCAAAACCAATTCCGATCACGCTTCTAAGTCATAAATCACCCAACGAAGCTAACCAAATCATAAAAATTCCGATCTTAGCTCATATATAAATAAGTCAACTCTTGGTCAAACCTTTCAAATTTAAAGCTTTCATCTGAGACTGTTCTTTCAAATTTATTCCGATTTTCCTGAAAACCAAAACCAACGATCTACATCAGTCATAATACCTTACACAGGGCAAGTCATGCCCGAGAACTGGCGATCAAAGTGCAAAAGCTCAAAACGACCGGTCCGATCATTACATTTGGGTTATTTTCACGTGAAAACATTGGGGTAAGTATTTCTTATCATATATTGATTATATTTCATGATTCCATACTCATTTACATCTATCATAGCTAAAGAAATAGAGAAAGAATTTTTGCGGAAATTATGTTTAATTCTATGGGTATACAAAAATTAGAGTTTTAGCAAATCTTCCAAAAACGAAAATTTAAGATTTGAGAACCAATCCGATGTCGGATTTTTGTAAAATTTGTATGGTTGGACTCGTGGTTGTATGGGGGTTCATATTCTGTGACTTTTGTCGTATTCCAAGATGTGGTCCCCACAGGCATTTTTGGGTTAATTTCGGATTTTGTTGGAAATTTAGTATTTTCACATGGAATTAATTCCTATAATATGTATTGAAAGAATTGAGTTAATTGTGACTAGATTCGGGACGTTTGAGGCTGATTTGAGCGGAAAAGGCATTGCGGAGTAAGATTTTGCTCAGATTGAGGTAAGTAACGATTATAAATCTGGTCCTGAGGGTATGAAACCCCGGACATTGTGTTGTATGACTATTTTAGAGGTGGCGCACATGCTAGGTGACGGGCGTGTGGGCGTGCACCACAGGGATTGTGACTTGGTCCGTCCCGCGAGACTGTGGAATTAATTAGCCTAATGTTTAATACATGTTCCCTCTATTTTCAAAGAAATTGACTGTACTTCATGTTAGAAATCATTTTTAGGCTTTATGCCGATATTGTGGGACCCATAGTGGTCGTTTCTTGTTGTCATCTCACTGATTTCATTGATATTTCATACTCAGTCATATTCATTTATTCATATAATATCTCAGTCTCAGTTGTTATTATTGATACATTATATCATCATTTTTGGGCTGATTTTCATGACATTTTGAGCCCGAGAGACTGGAGAGATTGATGACTGAGTGAGGCCGAGGGCCTAATTGTGAGGATGATTATGGGATCGGGTTGCACGCCGCAGCATGCTGTTACTGATTTATGATTGAGTGAGGCCGAGGGCCTGATCTGTGAGGATATTTATGGGATCGGGTTGCACGCCACAACATGTTGTTACTGATTTATGATTGAGTGAGGCCGAGGGCCTGAGTGATTTATGCCACGAGGTGGCTTATTGTAACACTTGGGCTGAAGGAGCCCCTCCGGAGTCTGTACACACCCCCAGTGAGCGCAGGTACCTACTGAGTGTGAATGTTGAGTGCGAGTGCCGAGTGCCGAGTGCTGAGTGACTGGGAGGAATGAGTGAATATGAGGAATGAGTGATTGTAAGGCTTGAGTGAATAGGAGGACAGAGTGACTGTTATTCTGAGAAAATATATTTACTTCATTACTGTTGCATCACAGATGTCATATCACTGTTTTGAAAATTATTGAAAGATATTATTTACTGCTCAGTCAAATTTGATATCTGGTTTATTGAGTACGTACTGATGTGACTTAAACTGTTAAATTGAAAGTATGACTACTCTTATTTGAAAGCTATTAAGATAACTCTATTGTATAGCTCATCACTACTTCTCAGTTCCTTATTTATTTCTGTTACTTACTGAGTTGGTGTACTCACGTTACCTCATGTACAGATCTAGACACTTCTGGTCACGGCGGTGGTTGATTGAGGAGTCAGACTTAGGAGAATATTGAGGTAGCTGCATGGCGTTCGCTGACCTTGACTCTTCTTTCCTTTCATGTTGTACTGTTCTATATTTCCAGACAGTGTTTTTATCATTCGGATGTTGTTATCATTTAGATGCTCATGCACTCAGTGACACCGGGTTTTAGGGATGGATTTTTTAGTACTTTTGGAGTTATATTCTATTCTTAAAGGTTTTATTTAATATTAACTGCTTTCTCCTTTATTTAAAAGTTCTACTATGTTGAGATATTGAGTTGAGGCTTGCCTTTTACCACGATAGGCGCCATCAAGACAGGTGAGATTTTGGGTCATGACAGATGCACGACAAGAAAATTGGTATAATATATCACATAACTGAAATCTTAGCAAAATAAAAGTTAAGAAAAATATTTTTTGAAGTGGTATGAAGTTGATGTTTGGTGCAATAATGATCATGTTTAGTTTATTAGTATAAAAAAATTAAATAAAATTAACAGAAGAACAAGAAAAAAAGAAACAACGGTGAAAATAATGCATTTTGTAGTAGCAACAACATAAAAGTTCAAACTTGAGAAAATAATTTAGTCAAAAATAAAAAAGGTTAGCTTGAAAACCCAAAAAAAAAATCCAAAACTAAAACAAAAAGTGGCTTATCGTAATATAAACTGAGGTCAATTATTGTCTTAGATGGGATTGGTTTTGAAGAAATATGTATTAACAGAAGCGCAATATTAGGGCTGAAGATTTTAGTATAATAAATGATAGACAAATAACGAATGAACCTATATATGAGGTGTATAAATAAATTTTATATTTTTTTTTAATGCGTTATTGAATCTATTTTTCATATAATTATTATGCATTTTTAATTGATCAATTCAAATTATTTGTATCACAAATTATATATTTTTATTTTGTGTTTTCATATCATTAAAATGCTATAGCAGTAAAGTTGATATGTTTTTAACTTAAGTAATAAAATTTTAATACGAGAAACTGGTTTAATTAAACACAATGCAAGCAGACAAATAGTTGAGCTTTAAAACTCAATAGTGATAATTTTACATATTGTTACTTTGAGTATAAAATTTATTATGATAATTTCTTTTAATATCAACTGCGCATCACGCGGGTACTACTACTAGTATGTAAAATTTGTAACAGTTTTAAACATTCAAATTCCCATTTGATTTTTAGTTAAGCAGAAAGAAAAGAAAAAGGAAATAAATAGAGTACTCAAAAAAATAAAAACAAAAACAAAAATGAAAAAAAGAGTACCCGGTAGCCTTAAGTCAATTGGCGGCTGAATTTCAGACTTAGGCCTCCAATCAAATGGGGCATGTATTTTCTTGAGATAAAACGCTGCAGAGAACATAAACAGAGCAAAGTTGCAGGGGAGAGAAGACTGATGAACGCCACCACACCTACAAAAATAGCCCAAACTCTCCCTTACTTCACCTCTCTATTTCACCCTTCTCGAGGTGCTCTTTGATATTAACACTCATCGTTAGTCTTCTTCCCCTTTTCTTCTTATAATTATAAATTTTGTTTCCAATTTTGCTTAGACATAACAAAGATTAAACCTTTTGTTTTTTTTTCTAAAGGGGTGGAAAATATTGGATTTTTGAACTTGTGGACAAGAAGTAGGAGGGGTTTTAGTATGAAGAAAATAGCTTGGAGTTTGGAGAAAAGTGATGGCAATGTGGAGACTAAGGTAGTTTTTGTGAGTCCTGCAACAGAAGATTATGCCGAAGAGGCAATTGAAGCTATCAAAGCTGGGAAAATTTTAGATGTGCCCACTAATACATTATATGGTTTTGCTTGTGATGCTTGGTATGCCTTTAATTTGATCTTTCCTCTTTAATGACAAGTTACCCACACACACTAGAGAAATGAACTGTCATAGAAATATATAGTTATGTAATATTTTGAGTATACTTTGTACTAATACATTGTTAGTACTCTTGGGTTTTGGTCTATTTTGTATTGGATAAAGGAAATAGAATGGAGAGGAAAGCGTAGGCTTGAATTAATAACTAGGCTTGGACAATAAAACACCAAAATTCTGTTGCAAAGTATTCTAAATTTTCTTGTTGATATTTTTGCCTTTCGATTCAATGTAGTTCTATATTCTGACATTTTAATGGAGTAAAAATATCAGAAATTAGTTAGATACTAAACTGTCATAGAAATATATAGTTATGTAATATTTTGAGCATACTTTGTACTAATACACTGTTAGTACTCTTGGGTTTTGGTCTATTTTGTATTGGATAAAGGAAATAGAATGGAGAGGAAAGCATAGGCTTGAATTAATAACTAGGCTTGGACAATAAAACACCAAAATTCTGTTGCAAAGTATTCTAAATTTTCTTGTTGATATTTTTGCCTTTCGATTCAATGTAGTTCTATATTCTGACATTTTAATGGAGTAAAAATATCAGAAATTAGTTGAGAAAATTTGTTTTTTCTTAGATACTAGCAAATAGAAATTAGTTGAGAAACTTACAGGAAAGATTTTGAGATAGGCAAACATGATGTTTTGGTATACTAGTAAGGCATAATTAGTCAACTCTATCTTATTTGAGATTTGCCTTTGTTGGGTTAGCATATTTGTTACTACCCAAAAATAAGGTGAAGCTTCGAGGAAAATCTTTTGGAGGTTTCTTCACAGTGGTATTTAAACTCTCACAACCAATGATAACCTAAATTGAGCATAGGGTGTCAACTTAATGAGGACTTATTCTTTTTTGACAAGAATCAGTGTCCTTTGTTTAGGTACTTGGGGACTTTGGCTTGTGAAAAGAGCACTGTGTGCCTGAAGTGGGAACTAGATAGTGATAAAAGGAATGATATTTGTCACGATCCTAACCCCGAACCCGATCGTGATGGCGCCTCTCGTGAAGACAAGGCCAGCCAATTAAACCTAATTCACTTTTTAAAACAGTTAAACAGTATAAAAGCGGTCTAAACATGATTTAATGACAATAAGTGGTGGAACTACAACCCAACACAGCCCTAACCGGGGTATCACAAGTCACGAGCATCTACTAGTGTATAAATACAACTGAAAGTTTGAAGTGTACAAATATAGACTAATGAAATGAAGAGAAAGAAAAGTAGTGCTGCGAACGCCGGCAGCTACCTTGCTAAACTCCGATAACTCTGCCTCCGATCAACCAAACCCACTACCGGGTGTATAAATACCTGAATCACACAAGGTGCAGGGAGTAAAGTGAGTACTCTAACTCAGTGAGTAATAATCATAACTAAAGTCTAAATGGTAAGAAATCACGTAAAGCATATCGAGATATTGTATAGAAGCATTTCAAAAACCAGTAAGAAAGTAGTGAAGCTGTAAAAATCTCTTAAACATCTTAGCTCAATTTAAACTTCTTTGAAAATGACTTTTTCAACAGTTACGCAAATGAATGCAAAACTGTTAGTGCAGATAAGCACAGAAATCCGCCCCTTGGGAACAAATACCATAGTTTAACGGGTAAATGACAGATAAATATGAAAGATAAACACATAAAGGTTCGCCCCTCGGGCAACAACATGAAACAACAACTCTGCCCCTCGGGCCATATCTCAGAACAATACCAGCCCCTCGGGCAATCACATAGAATGGTACCAGCCCCTCGAGCTATCACATAGAATAATACCAGCCCCTCGGGCAATCACATAGAATAATATCAGCCCATCGGGCTATATCTCACATCATAATGGGTACCTGCACTCACTGGGGGTGTAAAGACTCTGGGGCCCTTACGGCCCAAGCGCAATATCAAGCCACCTCGTGGCATCATAAACAGGCTATCGGCCTCATATCAATATCAAGCCACCTCGTGGTGCACAATCTCATGCCCTTGGCCTCATTATCATAATCAGTATATCACTGCTACGGTGTGCATCTCGACCCAAAAGTATCCTCACAATACAGGCCCTCGACCTTACTCAGTCAAAAATCACATAAGCCACTCGGGCAATAGTAAAACATAATGCTCAGCCCAAAATATTATTTAAAATATCATTTCAAGTGTTAAAGCAGAGTAAACATGGCTGAGTTTTGAAAATAGTGAAAAATAACATGACTGAGTTCAAGTATAAAGTCAAACCAGTGAGGAAATATCAACGAAAATCCCCAAAGGGTTCAAATAGCCAACACTAGGCCCAAATATGGCTTTCAACCCAAATAATGATGATAGCAAATAGTTTTCAATCAAATACACTATAAAATCATCAATCGGGACGGACCAAATCACAATCCTCAATAGTGCATGACCCCACGCTCGTCATCAAGCATGTGTCTCACCTCAATATAGCACAACGATGTGCAATTTGGGGTTTCAAACCCTCATAACATCATTTACAATCATTACTCACCTCGAACCAGCTAAATCTCTAGCCCGTGATGTCTTTTCCCCTCAAATCGGCCTCCACGCGCGTCGAATCTATCCAAAATCAGAACGTGGACGTCAAAATATGCTAAGAAGACAAAGCCCAAGCGAAAACAATCAAAAGATGACATAATTCCCGAAAATACCAAAACCCGAGCCCCGGGCCCACGTCTTGAAATCGGGTAAAATTTACATTTTCAGAATCCTCAAACCCTCACGAGTCTAACCATACCAAAATTATCCAATTCTGGTACAATTTGGTCCTTCAAATCATCATTTTATATTTTTGAAAGATTCCATAAAAAGTTTTCCCAAATTCCATCCCAAGTCACGAATTAAATGATGAATTCAATGATAGATTTAGGTACTCTAGCCAAATCTGAGTTAGAATCACTTACCCCGATGAATTTCTTGAAAAACCTTCGAAAAATCGCCAAAATCTGAGCTCTCTAGGTCAAAATATTAAATAAAACCCAAAACCTCGTATTTATAGAGTACCCTATGGATTTCCACCTCTACGGACCGCACAAAAATGACCGCGGTTCGCACAAAACCAGTGCGGTCCGCACAAAAACGACTGCAGCCGCACAGGTTTTTATCTTCAGTGACAGGCTTTAGTTCTTTGGTCATAACTTTCGCTACAAATGTCCTAATTACGATATCTTTACCTTTCTGGAAACTAGACACAAAGGGCTATAACTTTCGCTTTTGAATCATCTTAAAATTCCTTGTAGATCAAAAGATATGAGCTTCCTAAAAAGGACCAGTGAAATGTTCCCCACCGCGGTCGCACTGCATTTTGTGTGGTCCGCACAGCACCTACTGCGGACGCACTTCATTTTGTGCGGACCGCACTGGTGGGTTACGAGGCCTGCAACCCTTCTGGACCTGCTACAGCTATAATTTTAGGCCTAAAACATCCCGGAATCCCCGAAACTTCAAACCAATTGTACCAACACATCCCATGACATCGTTCAAACTTGTTCAAAACTTCGGAACGCTCACAACCACATCAAATCACCAATTTAACATAGGATTCAAGCCTAAGAACTCCAAGAACTCTTAAATTATGCTTTCAATTAAAAAGTCTACCAAATCTCGTCCGAATGACCTAAAATTTTGCACACACATCCCAAATGACACAACGAAGCTACTGCAACTCTCGGAATTCTATTCTGACCCCTATATCAAAATCTCACCTATCAACCGGAAACCGCCAAAATATCAACTTCGCCAATTCAAGCCTAAATCTTCTCTACAACTCCAAAACCCATTCCGATCGTGCTCCTAAGCCACAAATCACCTAACAGAGCTAACCAAACAATAAAAATTCCAATCTGAGATCAAATACACACAAGTCAAATCTTGGTCAAATCTTTCGAATATTAAGCTTTCAATTGAGACTGTTCTTCCAAATTCATTCTGATTAACCTGAAACCCAACACCAACAATTTGCATAAGTCATAATACACCACACGGGGCAAGTCATGCCCGAGAACTAGCGAGCAAAGTGCAAAAGCTCAAAACGACTGGTCGGGTCGTTACATCCTCCCCCATTTAAACACGTGTTCGTCCTCGAACGCGCCTATAGTTGTTCTAGAAGCCAACCAATTGCTGAATTACTTTACCATGCATATACCCGGGGGTGATCCCACGTCACCCTATCTCATATAGGTCCGATAACATAATGCAACTAAAATTTCACAATCCAACCTAGACCATAAACCTTAGAACCACATTTCCACTTTCGAAATCATCCACAAGATAAGAATCTCACATCTATATTCAGAATAATCTCGAACCAGCTGTAATAACCCATACCTGCAACCTCAGGTGCAATTACATGATAAACCACGTAACTCAAACGCTCGTAGTGATAACTTCTATTCACAGCAGCTGCCCACAACAACCGAATACCAGTAGAAAACCTCTTATCAACTAAAGTCTAATTCCAACACTTTTATATACTGCCAACGATAAATGAAACACGCAATAGACCATAACCATTTATCAGATCAATCATTCATGAAGCCACTTCTCCTTTGGCAAATGCCATAGCAAATTTCCAAGCCGAACCTCGATATTATCCTTTCAACATGCTGAAATCGAATTTGTTTGTATTCATTAATGATCCCAACGATCTCCTCTAATCCAACACACCACTCTGGTGACATGACACATCAATATAGGCCTAAGCCACAACTTGCATAATACGTGCACCAATAAGCAACGGTCTGAACATACTCAAATCATGAAAATGACTCAAATGAAAGAGTTGTACCTCAAGCTCACCAGTACCACCACAACACAAAGCTAAGAACCCGTCTGACATTATAGGAACAGAACACATGAATCTAACCTGCAAGGTCATACCTCCACATATATTCGCTGCAATGCGTGACCTTATCCAAACACTGTTCCACATGGAACACCTCAAGTCACTCTGCTCGAAATTGACGACCAGCGCAATTGATGTATAGAATCAAAGTAAATCATCATAACCACGGTAAAGAAAGTACATAACACCGCACAACCTGAAAGGGCATAACAGATGCGCCATCCGCCAAGCAATATCCAATACTCCTCCCGCTCGAATCCTGCTGAGAGACCCAATAACATCGCACCACATGTGCTGATAACCAACAAATCCTAATGCCTCGCAGCACAGAAAGGTAACTCATAGGCCTACCCGAATTACTAATAAGCTCAATAACCGACGAAACAACACCTCTCTTAATAATACAATTCGGAGCCAACCAAGCCAACTCAAGTTAGAACACACATCCACATTGTCCTGCCAACGAACTCCTTATCAAGGTGAAGCTGCTCCTTCTACCCCTTTAACTATGTCGGTGCCATACGATATGGTGCCCGGTATCAAATCAATACAGAAATCAACAACCCTGCCCGGCGACATGCCCGACCACAAGAAACGCATCCGAAAAGTCCCTCACCACCGGAACTGAATCAATGGTAGAAGCCTCTACATTGACATCCATCACGAAAGCCCAAATAAGAAAGACAATCCTTCCCAGCCATCTGTTGGGTCTTCGAAATATAAAACCACTCCACAAGGGCATAATCCTACAGAACTCGCCACTCAATCTGTGGCATTTTCAGCATAGCCAACAGTGACGCCTTAGCGCAATAGTCCAGAATGACACAACACGGAGACAACCAGTCTGAACCCAATATCCCATCCAAAATCTAACATGCCAAGCACAAAATATCTGCTCGGGTCTCCAAACCCCGATAGTCACTAAACAGTGCCGATACACACGACTCACAACCACAACATAGCCTGAATGTGAGAACTTCCATGTCTCCAAATCCATATGGCACATGAATCAACATACTTGATCCCAATTTCGCCGTCTGTACATACCGCACCTCAAATACCCAATCATTCTATGAAAGATACTCTAAAATTCCCCTGTGTCACCAAGCAAACTTGAATATCAGTAGTCGATCTAACAAGAAAGCGCCGTAATTCTACCGAAGTACCATCAACTTAATCACATTGCCTTTTCTGAAACATATACCCTCGTCAAATCACTCCCATTTAGCAATACCATTTCCTTAATCATCTGGAGATCATCCTCATAATCATCCGAAGCTCATTTCTCTAATCATCTGAAACTGCCCTTGTTGCCTAAGAATTTTATGACTTTCCGTTCAAAACTGAATTGTAACCTTACACACGCAAATCTCAATCCTCCACAACATACAGCATATACCATACTATCCTAGGATAACATGAGAACTTCATCTCTCTTCCGAGCCACAAACATCTACGTACTCCACTAGTCAAGAACTTTCCATTGATCCCATCTAGAAGGAAATCACTATGCATCCCATGCTCATCATGCCCATAGAAAATTTACATCTCCAACCGAGGTAGAAACCATCAAGAACTCTCTGAGTTCCCCTTGCACAAACCAGACCTGCGAGGACTGAATCCTTCTAACTCGACCAATCTACGCAAGCCATCAAAACCTAAGAGCATTACCGCGAAATACCTATAGGAATTCATTACCCCGTACACACCCAAGGAATTATTCATATCCTTACCATACTGATCCAGCCTACTACCCAGCTATCTCATCTATCCGAGTTTCCTTCTGATTTACCTTCAACTTGATATCCCCTCTTGTTGTAGCACCACAATTCCTCAACCCAGACTTACCACACAATACCCAAGCATAAAACCACACTGTCTAAAGCTCATAAGCCGCTGAGTACTCTCTTAAATGTTTCCAAAAGCACCATGCTCAAAATACCTACCCCGAAGGGACTTCATGCGAATATAGAACCATTACCTTCCTAATACTGATATATAGAATCCTATAGTTAATGTAGAAAGTACTACAAGTCTTGACATCTTCCAAATGAAAACTCAGTTCCTAACCATGTATACAACTTTAAAATACCCAATTGTTACATGTAGAATCTTGAACACATTAGAACCATTCTCGAGAGTCATTCACTCTATTCAAACTGTAATTAGTTTGATCAAATGAATGGAACAACCCGTGCCTCATTGGCACTCTGACACCGCAGAATGTAACCTCATCCCAATACAACCAAGCAACTTCCTGCTCTATGCACCGAGCATTCCTGCCAATAACAACTCAAGACATCCTGTGATTCTCGCACACCTATGAAGCATAATATAATCTTCATCAAAAAATTTCTTTACCCGAGCCATCATCGGTCTCAACCTTTGTAGGCCATAACTGATTCACCCGAACGTCTGAAACCAGAACCAATATAGCACATAACCGTGCAATCGCTTAATCAATAGCAGACTCCCCCACTTGGCTCGGAGCCGTAGACCAAAACACACACACAATTAACTCATAACGCATATACTCTATTGTTGCCACAATACCATAGTGAGATTAAACTCAAACCTTCATAAGCTCATGAAACACAGACCATCTGGTACCTTGAATCTTCTGCAAATCTCGCATTCATCCTTGCAAAAGTCAAGCCCACTCTCTTAAGCGACTCAAAATTCAAATTTCAACACTTATATTTCAATTGTAAATGAGACCTTCTAAAAGACACATAAGGATCACACAACCTCGGAACACTTCGCAGAAGATAACCCACCTACCTTGACTTCAACTAACATTTCTGTATACCTTCTACCGTCACAAATATTACGCAGTCACTTAGCCTTCCTGAGTCTGAACTCATACTGCAACATGAAATTTACTTCACTCCCAACTAGGACATATGAAAAGACTTTTCGCACACCCATAACTCAGGGCTATACCTCAAATCAAGATGAAAATCAAGCACCTAATAGTCCTTCTGTCCTCCAGCAGACCCTCCTTGTTGCTTCCAATTCATAAGAATACATCTCACAGTCACAACATACTCATCACATAGCCATGCAGTAGTCACTTCTACTAATAGGGACACTACCGAACATACTAGTGCGAACA